TTAGTTTCTGAAATATATCAGCTAACTGATTTACATTATTCCGAGTTTCCTCAAGTCCTACTTCAATCCTATCAAATTTAGTAGAGTTATTGTTTCGTTGAGGACGGGATCTTTGAAAAGGCTTTACAGGATAATCTTAGTCTAAATCTTCCTTATTAAGTAGACCTACTTCTTTTAAGTATTCGGCTACATAATAATTCTTAAGACTTTCCTCTGTTTTCAATGTAGATGGTGGACCTTTCGGCTGTCTAACTGGCTCAACAGTTTGCAGAGCTGATGTCTGTGCTTTTTGAGTAACTGTTTGCTGAGACATTTGTGATTGAAAATCGGCCTTTTGCTTTTCTAATAAAGACTGGTATTCAGTTTTTTGCTGTGCCAGTGCGCCTTGGATTGCTTTTTGCATATCTTCTAAAGAAATCCCTTGCTGTTGAGAAGCTAAAACAGGTGAAGGTTCATATATTTGCTGAGATGCACGTTGAGATACTAGTGGATCAGCCATTCTATCTCTTTTATGTCTAGCTATTCGACGTAACTCAATTTCATAAAGCTTTTTAGCTAATGTTTCTAATGTCAAATGTTCACCGATATCTTCGGCTTTTTCAAGCCAGGGAAGTGGAAGAGCATCTAAGAACTTTCTACGTAATTCTTCAGGTCTGTAGTTAGCCCGTCTACCTATTCGCAATATTTTTCTATATAATTCATAATGCTTTGAAAAATGCAGAAACCCTAAATGGAGTATTACAAGAGGATCTTGCTAGAATAACAGAAAAACCTCGGTCACTTTCTGGTGGCTCCTCTAATGAGAGAGTTTCTATTGGAACATTACAAGAAGAATTCGATCGATCTATTGGGCATCATCAGCATTTGAGTGAGCAACTTGATGATGATTTATCGGCTAGTATTTCATCTTTAATACTACCCCCAGTAGAGCTAGAAGAAAACTTATCTCCCCAAGAGGTTCACCGATTATTAGAGAAAGAGCATGAGAAAACTTTAAAGGCTATAAGCCTTGCTAATACTGCGGAAAAAAGGGTTCAAGAATTGACATGAGTCATATATAGTGAAAGTCCTTCTCCTCCCTGAAATGTCGAGTTCTCATTTAGAATTTGATGATAATATTTCCTGCTCTAGGATGGAAATTCGCAAGGCTAGGATAGCATAAAATTTATGAGTTAATACAAGGAAAGATAATCTACAACTGAAAGCTCAACTACATGAATTTCAAAGTGATAGGGTACTAGAATATAATCGATATCGATTAAATACCCAGGCTCTATTGAATTCTGCTAAGTCTGCCTCAGCTTTGTGCATTCGATTTATTAGTCGAAGACCTACTTTTTCTTGCGATAATATATGGTTACGCCTTTCTGCTCTTTGTGTTTTAAGCCACCATACTTGTCACTCATCTGCTTTATTATTATATGCTAAAATTAATAATTGAGCTCTTCGAAGACATCCATTTATAACATTTGCCATATCATTCATAAGGTTATTGACTAAGCAGGCCCATTGGTGAATTATTTATTTGGGATAATTTTTTATCTAAGGCCTGTTCCATTCCTTCCACTGTCTGCCTGTAAGTCAGCATTTTATCTGATCCAAAGTGATCTTTGTATTTATTTTTTGCATTCATTAATAATAACATTTTCTTAGCAATCTTGCCATTAAGTATAGCTCTCTCAGTCTTTAGCTTTGTAATTTCATCCTTAGCTTCAGCATTCTCAGTCATAAGTCTGATGTTTTCTTGCCTAAGTAAATCAATCTCAGATGACATTTTCGAATATATTTTATATACTAGTATTCAAAAGTACGGGAGAATTTGCTATTAAACTATTAGGTAAATTGTAGTATCCAAGAGTAATCAATATGATATTACCTCTTTTTTCTTCCAGAGGTCCGCCGAAAATTATTCGGAAATTCCTGCTGTAGGATTATGTTGTGACAGATTTCCATAATGCGATCGATTTTATGTGATTCTTATCTTCCAAATTATCCACATCATGGCCATAGCAGGTTTGCATAAATGTTCATTCTCAAACTTCCATGCAAATACTAGCTTAACCTCCGATCCTGATTTTGTAATGTGATAATTGCTTTTTTTTTTGAACTATAATGAGAATGATATTTTCGATATCATAATCTAATTATCACATATAATATAATTGATCTATGGCAAAGCCTACTCTATTAACACAAAGAAGTCTCTTTCTTTACGAGAAAGATAAAGATACTAATAAAGTTATAGAGCATATTTCGGATGAAATTCCAATAGAATATATTCTCAAATGGATTCGTTCTCAATCTGGGGTAAAAAATACTAATATTAAGAGCGCTTTAGCACGAATCTTGATAGTACGGGCCAAGACTGGCTCTGAAAAGTCTACTATTCTTCCGGTAGAAATGCATAAGTATCTTAATAGGTTCATTCCTGCTAATGTAGAGATTAAAAAGCGGGATTTTAAGAAGGATGATATCATATGTACTCAACCTCGAGTACTGACCACTATCTTCTTAGCCAAAGATGTTTCTAGCAGTGGCTACTACAAAGATATGGTGCTGGAGAAAACGGTCGGATATCAAACGGAGCCTAACAGTAGAAAACCCATTCATGGCTTACTTTATGCTACAGTTGGTATTCTAGTTGCTCATATGCAGATGAGCACGGATGCAGAAATCATAGAAAAGTATCGCATAATTATTATAGATGAGGCCCACGAGCGATCTCTCGAGTCGGATTTTCTACTAATGCTTCTTAAAAACTTTTATGAGCATAATAGGCTTATAGTCAATCTTCCTTTCTTGATTTTGACTAGTGTAACATTTGACATCCAGCGCTATGCGAAATACTTTGGGGTAGGTCCCAGCAATTATCTTGATATTATGGGCAGGGCATATGACATTGAGACTCACTGGCCCCGTAATGGTTTCAATAATTATATCATGGGAGCTGTGGAGCAGATCATAGAGATCCATCAAAATAATCTTGATGATCTTCCTGCCAAAGCAGATATTCTTGTCTTTACTCCTGGAGCGGGAGAAGCTATGGCCATTTGCCAGGAACTAGTCAAAAAACTAGCGCAACTAGAGAAACCCTTTTTACTACTAACTCTAAACCGGGAAATAGTGGCGGCGCAGAGGAGAGAATATCATCTGGTATTTGCAAAGCCCAAATCTCTTCCTCTAGTTAATGGTCATAAGGTTGTTAGACGAGTTATCTTGACGACCACGGTTGCGGAGACTGGGCTGACCATTAATACTTTGCGATATGTAGTGGATAGTGGGTGGCATCGCTCTCGAGAAACTTATCAGCCTTGGGGAATATCTGGTATAATTACTCGCCCGGCTTCACAAAGCAGGATACTTCAGAAAAAAGGTCGGGCAGGCCGGCTATTCCCTGGTGACTTTTATCCATTATATACTGAAAATACTTTTAATACTTTGGAAGAACAGCAGTTGCCTGATATCATTACGCTAGGAGTGGATCCCATCTTCCTGGCTCTCATAGCTGAACAGAGGCGACATAAGGAGCTGATGGAGACTCTCCATGCAATAAATCCCAAGTTATTTCCGGGTTTCCTAAATAAGGAGGCTTTCAGAGTTGAGGATTTGGATCTGCTTGACCCTCCTCCTCCCGAAGCCTTCTTAGTGGCTAACTCAAAAGCAATTTCTTTTGGTTTTATAGAAATTAAGAATCTGGATAGATCATCTTCTACCAAAGCCCAGCCATTTGTGTCTCTAATGCCCTTAGGGGAAGTTGCATTAAGGTTCTCACGGGTGCCGATGGAAGGAGCCCGGATTCTTTTTTCAGGCTATGTTTGGAACTGTTCCGCATCTGATCTCGCTACAGTAGTTAGTCTGATCGGAGCTCAATCCAATGTCTTTCTTTCTAAACGAGAAATGCAGAATAAGAAGACCTTTTCGGGCTCTAAGGCACTTCTAGCCTCAGTGTCCTCATTTCTGACCGGGATTGAACTGGCTGAGATATTGGCCTTCTTCCATGTCAAAATCTTAATAGCTGATGCTTTTCTGGAAAATTTGCTCATTTTTGACGCTTTTGCTGAACAATTAGAGGATCCTGTTCAGACTAAAGACTGGTGCGAAAATCTGGGACTAGATTATACCAAATTAGTGGGAATTGCCAATATTCATGAAACTGTAATAGGAGAGATGGTTGTCGCAGAACTAGATCCGTTCTGCAATTCAGAGTATAAATTGAAGCTTTCAACTAAAGAATTTTTTATATCTAGGCTGATTAATCTTAAGAAATGTTTGTATTATGGGTTTCGAGGAAATCTGCTTACACTAACTCACGCTTCAAACAAAAAAACAAGAAATCAGTTTGGGATAGGGTCATGTTATGTAACTCGTCAAGGACTTACTGTCCACATACCCACACCACTTTTACCTGAATTATTGATTGAACAGGTTAGGGATGCCAGGTTAGCTTTTGCTGATAGTTTTGGTATGGCTTCGAGCGCAGAAAGTAGACCCCAATGGCTCTTGACTGATAGCTTGCAGATAGTTCCTGAGCAGAGAAATGAAATGATGTATTCTTTGTCTGCCAATATACTTTTGGTAATAGATGGATATGTACCCATTGATACTACATTTGACAGACCTCGCTCTTTCTTTTAAAGTATAGCAAAATCCCTAATCGTTTTTATACTATTATAAGGATTATTAATAAAAAAAATATTGAATATTGCTTAGATAACTTTGCTACAATATATGTACAGTATATGAATAAGCTACATTATGCGTAGCATCTTCGGCTAAAGTCCATTCCTATCCCTTTTCACTTATATTATTCAAAGGTACCCGTAATCAGAAGGAAGAACTAGAATATCTAATGCGATGCTGTTCACTTCAGTAAACTGCTTATTGAGTATAGTGTGTCGACCGAAGATAAAGGACAATATATTTTTTTTGTTGCTTCAAATGAATAAGAAGGCAGGAGTTCTATTCGTTTGTGACGTAGTCTGATTCAAGGTTGTAACATAATGAATGTTCCCTTAATGGGGATCGAGAGTAGAAGGAAAAAATAGGCAGGGTATTTATAAAAAATATCAGACAGATCCGCCTGGGCGGACTGGCTTCTGCTCCTCACATATTATTTTCATAAATTTTTTTTGTGCATTACTCCTCTTTAGCGAGCCGATTCACGTTTCCATAAAATAGGAGCACTGCATCTATACCACAATCGGGATATGAATAGAGTGAGGTAGAGGGATTTATCTATCGCTAAAAAATGTAAAATCCCTAGGCAGTATTTCTGGTATAATAAAAATACTTGATTGCGCCATAAATAGTATATGCTTTATCTTTAATCGAAAAAATAGCAAAGTACCTTCGGGGAAATAAATTAGCCGAGCTGGTAGATTGCTGTTCTGAACTAAGCTTTTGATTAAAGATATTCAGTTATAAAATACAATACTTAAAATAGCTTATATAGAATGTAAAGTTTGGCATTTTCAGGAAGATGATGATATAGATCTAAAAAGTCACTATGAAGCAATGAAAGCAGGATGTAGGTTCTGTACAGTCAAGGCATTGATAGACACATCATCTAGAGTAAATTTTATTAGAAGAAGCTTGGTCGATAAGCTCGAAATGGAGTACACTAAATATAAAGAAAAAAACAGGTTTGAATATCTGGATTTATCTATTCGATACGAGGGGAAAGATAGACTAGTATCTACTAATGGTGATGATGTTTTTAATGATTTCGTGGTTAATGAAAAGCCGAAAGCAGACCTTGTATTAGGATTATCATAGTTATGGCTTCGCGAAGCAAAAATAGATATGGAAAAACAAGGATTAACAATCTATGGTGATTTTGTGCCATTCTGCGAGGAGACAGATTTATCCGAGTCCAAAGAAACCAATGATCCCATACCTCAGTTAGTGAAAGAAACAAATGAAGAGGTTACTTCGCAATCAGATAGGGTAGATGATACCTTTGGAATCTCTTCATTCACCTCTTTCACTTCCTCATCTTCAGAATAAAAATACACATCATCATCATTGTCTGCCTTAGCGATTATTCCAGACTTTTTAGAATCCTCCTCAATCAAATCATTCACTCCTTCTTCCTTAAAATAATCTGTAATATCAGATGTGTCACTAAAATTATCATCTGAAGGGTCATTAGCTGAAGTAGTAGCCACTGTCTCAGAGATTTTATTCACAGGACTAGTTGCTATTTTCGATTTGACCTGTTCTATAATATATTCGATTTGAGGTTAGTGAGCCTTGAAATTTATCAACGCTACAAGTGATCTGCTGAACCATATACCCTTGTATACCATCAATCTTTTTCAGAGTTACAGGATCATATTCATAGCTAAATAGCTTATTGATTTTTCTTGCCTTACAGGTCCTCACACGTAAATATCCATCGGAAACACCCGTAAGGTATGGTCTCATTTCAGCATAAATTTGTGATCTTGCAGTCTTATCTACAAGTTTCTTATCTTCAGACCTAAGCTCCACAACCTTATCTTCGAACTTTTCAGAGAATAAACACCATAATGTAATCTCTGATCGCTTTGCTATGATTGTTTTATTTCTTACAAAATTCGCCTGGCAGAATGAATTGGCAAGTTTTTTGATGCTTAATGATTCAGGAACTATGTTTTTAGGAGAAGAAAACTTTATAGTCTGGAGTGGGTTATTATCTGAGAGTAGCTCTTCCAATAGCCCTTGTACAAATTCAGTTACTATACTCGGTACTACTACCAATTTATCTTGATGGGGTCCCAAATGGACCTGGTCAACCTTGCTCTTGATTTCTTCTAAACTTTCTGAAATGCTCTGATCGTTAGCATTGTTAATGGTTTTTATATCACGTGTTATTTTCGAATCTATAATGGGGTTGGCACCTTCCTGGGCTTGAAGCTGTGAGTTATCTTCAATGACCTCTGTTCTATGAGAGAGAGCCTCTTTGAGTTCAGCAGATAATTCTGAAGAAGTAGCGGTGGTGCTATCCTGGTTAGCTGATTCATGCTGGAGTTTCTTCTCCTTATTATATTGCCTAATCTCATCACTAACCTTTTTCTTATACTTCTCATCCAAGAAAGCATCTGCTACTTTGTCTTCAGGTAATAAAGTATTCACCAATGGTTTCTCATGATGCGTTACCATTGGCACCTGATCTGCAACCAAATTGTAATTAGAAGAATTACTGTCTCTCAACTCATTTAGAGTCTGCTTCTGTTCCACTTTTGTAATTCTATCTCTAAATTTAGCATTCTCGAACTCAAGTTTAGTGGTAACTGTCTTATTTTTCTCTAGTTCCTCGATTCTGATCTTGAGCTCGGCATTTTCAGCATCACATCTCTTTTTTTCTTTCATATCATGTTTTAGAAGTTCAGTAATCCTGGCCTTAAGTTCAGGGATCTCAATATTCATATCTTTAAGCTCATCATTTTCGACCTTAATCTCAGCAAACTTCTTCCTAAGTTCGCCAATCTCAGCTAAGAGCTTGGAATTTAACGTTAATTCCCTTAATAAATTGTTAGATTGAGTATTTGGCATAGATAAATTTTATATAAGGATGGAACTATTCAAAATTCGAACCTAACCTTGAATAAATAGGGCTATTTTCCCAGGCGGTGATCTTGATTTTGAGCTGAGCTATCCCTTGGATCATAGAATAATTATTTTTCTTAACACCTATACATATTTTAGAACATGCGAGACGCTGGCCAAAGTTAATAACTAGTCTAAATAAGACAAAAAATTCTGCCTATATTTGCATGGAATACGATTCAAGGGATAATGATCATGTGTATTTCCAATATTTGTCTAATAGTAAGATGTTATCGCTCTTCTAGATGCCTATCATCCTGAAGTAAATGCATTAACTATACCATATCAGCTGAGGCAGCGTCTCACATCGACAATGATGATGCATATTTTTTGATGAAGTTCTTGAACTTAAAAAAGCTTAACGAGATTAATATCCATATTTTAAGGTTAGAAGATGATCGAAAAAAGAAGCATTATCCTGAAAATAACTTGCCTATTCCCTAAGAAGGCTTTCGCAAAACTCATTTATTTCCGCATTGAACTTGATAACATTGGAAAGCTCTTTCATACGAATTATCATATGCTCAGCCGTAAAGCGCAAAGCATAACCCATTTTTTTCGTTGACCGGTCTATATGTGGAATTTTCAATTCCAATACTGTAACTGGCCAGGGAAGAGGTGTTGAAGCGCTTTGCATTCTCTTGAATTTTGGTCAACTTTCTTTTCGAATATACTCCCGATATACTACCTAACAAAGCATTATTCTTATCACGACTCTCATATACTGTCTTGCTAAATGTAGTGTTATTAATAGGCTTGAGATCATGATAGTTATCGACCTTATAGGAGATCGGCTTAGCATCTCATATTCTCTTGAACCTTATTATTTCCACTCCGCGGGACTTAACCTAACTATTTTATGTATTAAGATAAGGAAATTATTTTGCAAAACGTCTTTCTAATCATTTCTCAAAACATGGATGTTTCTAAAATTCCTACTAAAGAGAATCTTGCAGACATGATAGTGATGTTGAGACCAAGAGATGTAAGATCTCTTCAAATTATCTACCATGAACCGGATCCTTCTAACATTCTAGTATGGTATAAAGAAAAATATTTTTGGTACCGTACAGGCTATCTAAAGAGCAGAGGAGAAAAGAAGGAAAATTTGAGTTCTGACCATTTCTTTCCATGGAGAAGAATCCAGAACGTGCCAGGGAATTACTCACCTGGATCCGAGATGCAATTAAGGCTAAAAGATTACGTGATCCTGTCTATACTGATAGTTAGGGTTCCGCAATTCGATTTGACATTTGAATATTTGATTTGATCAAATTCAAATCAAAGAATGATTTATTTGAT